TCATCATTCTAACCTCAACTTGCTATTATCTGCTCATACTCCTACTTACTTCAGCATCGGAGTGTCTTGCAGGTACCCCCCCCCCCCCACCTCGTTCAAAAAAGCTTTCTGCTCGGAGCCAGCCGTGACGGTCCATTTCTGATCAGGTGAGATCAGTGGCGCCGTCTGTGGAAACGGACTTATGTAGTCGTGTATGGGACGACATGATTTTGTCGAGCGTAGGACTTCGTGCTCAATTGACTGGTTTCCCGTGCTCTGCAGGTAACCATGGCGGACGAGCCGAGCTCCTCCGGACGCCGTGACCGCGAAGAACGGAGTGCCGACGAGTCGGTCACCCTGATTGATACCGTGACCGACCCATTGCTGGAATGGGTGGGCGTCGAGCCGCGGGGGATAGCGTCGGTATATAGTCGGGACGACCGACATCCATTTGCTGTCATTGAAGAGGGTCAAGACCAGCCCGGCTTCCAACAAAACTTCGTAGTTATGCTTCCGTCAACCCGTGCAAGGATTTGCTCGGTTTATCCGAATTACAGCCTCGCGATGTATGAGATCGCGTTCAAAGACCTAGGGCTGCGGCTACCATTCACTGATTTCCAGGTCGGGGTCTTTATGCACTTGGAGCTGGCCCCGTCCCAGCTACACCCAAACTCTCTCGCCTTCATCCGGGCGTTTGAGTTGACGTGTCGATACCTGAGGATCGGGGCGACCATCCCGCTTTTCTTCCGGATATTTCACCTGCAGCGTCAGTCCCGAGGAGGGAAACATAGCTGGGTCTCCCTGAAGCAGTCGAGGAGGCTCTTTAAGATGTATATGGACTCCGTGAAGGGGTTTAAAGACAAGTGGTACGTGGTACGGCCAGTTACCGACGCTGCTTTAAATTCCCTTTTCGAGGAGGAGGGGCCGGTGAGCGACGATGATGGGGAAACGATGATGGGCGACGATGGGAGCCCCGTGTTGGGTCGTAGGGCTAAAATCCCGGTGTACTGGATGTCCCGGCATTACGAGCATGGGACCGGTTATTACCATACCGCCGCCGGGGACATGTGCTCGGAAGACGAGCGGGCGTACGACACTCTTTGTCGGTTTGTCGACAGTTTCCATCCCGCCCAATGAGTTACGCGGGAAGGGGATGATATCCTGGACAAAGACGGTTACCCGACGTTCGAGTCCCGTCCGATTGACACCAAGGCGTTGGTGGAGTGCCCGACATACAGGCAGGTTGCCCGCCTGTTAGGTTGTTTGTTGCTTAAAATTCTTTATTCGTCATTTACTCATGAAGTTTGCTCGATACTGACTTCTCCTTTATTTCGTGCAGGTACGATGGCTAGCCGGCATGAAAGGCTCCTGAAATTATCCTGCGACCAGAGGCGAGGCAGGAGGGTCGTGAAGCCCCCACAGGCGACGAGAATGGGCCCGTCACAAAGTCCAAACGCTCCTCAGTCGGCGAGGGTGGAATCGCAAGTCGCGACTGGAGAAACTCTGGAAGAGCGGCAGCAGAGAGAGCACAGAGAGCAGAAAACGTATTATGGGGCCCAAGGTTCCTATTTATAGTGATGACGTGGAATACCAAATGTCACCCCGGGCAACCACGGACTCCATCTCCTCGACGCGCTGTTCCCAACGCAATGATGACCCTACCCCCATAGGGTGGCGGCACAGTTCCCGAAAGATGCCTCGTGTGCTCGACCAACGCACCCGGTAAGGATCCTCCGCGCATCCACCACCGAGGACGTCTCCGAGCACGACACGAGGAGGCCCCTCGAGGGCCCACACCTCTATCCCGGGCACGAGACCTCAACGAGGAAATAACTTGGGTTCAAGTCATGGCTCCTCGCAAAGGAACCACGACTTGGGGGGCTCCTGTTCTGGACTGGGCCCGACAGGCCCAAAAGCATTGCTAAGGCCCAGTCCAAAGGGACTTACTAAGGACCACGCCGAGCAAAGGGGTCACATCCGTGCCCGACATCCTGATGTCCAGCTCGACATCCCGCTGTCCAACTCCACGTGATGATGTCTAGCTCCACCTCCTGCCGTCCAGCTCGACGTCCTGACGTCCAGCTCGACATCCTGCCGTCCAGCTCCACGTCCTAACGTCCAGCTCGACACCCTACTGTCCAGCTCGACGTTGTCTCGAGCATCCCAACTAGGGCAGACTCAGTCCACCGTTCCCCCAACGATACTCCGAAAAGACCGCGTCTCCGTCCGCCCGCACTTCACGCAGAACATCCAGGAAGGGGACCACGTGCGGGTCCCCACTACCCACGTAGAACCTGGCAGTTCCTCCATTGGGCCAAATCCGCCCGATCCAATGAAGGAACCTTGGCCCAGCGCTGGGGGCTATAAATACTCTCTGTTTCCAGAGGGTCAGGTATTCATCATTCTAACCTCAACTTGCTATTATCTGCTCGTACTCCTACTTACTTCAGCATCGGAGTGTCTTGCAGGTACCCCCCCCCCCCACCTCGTTCAAAAAAGCTTTCTGCTCGGAGTCAGCCGTGACGGTCCATTTCTGATCAGGTGAGATCAGTGGCGCCGTCTGTGGAAACGGACTTATGTAGTCGTGTATGGGACGACATGATTTTGTCGAGCGTAGGACTTCGTGCTCAATTGACTGGTTTCCCGTGCTCTGCAGGTAACCATGGCGGACGAGCCGAGCTCCTCCGGACGCCGCGACCGCGAAGAACGGAGTGTCGACGAGTCGGTCACCCTGATTGATACCGTGACCGACCCATTGCTGGAATGGGTGGGCGTCGAGCCGCGGGGGATAGCGTCGGTATATAGTCGGGACGACCGACATCCATTTGCTGTCATTGAAGAGGGTCAAGACCAGCCCGGCTTCCAACAAAACTTCGTAGTTATGCTTCCGTCAACCCGTGCAAGGATTTGCTCGGTTTATCCGAATTACAGCCTCGCGATGTATGAGATCGCGTTCAAAGACCTAGGGCTGCGGCTACCATTCACTGATTTCCAGGCCGGGGTCTTTATGCACTTGGAGCTGACCCCGTCCCAGCTACACCCAAACTCTCTCGCCTTCATCCGGGCGTTTGAGTTGACGTGTCGATACCTGAGGATCGGGGCGACCATCCCGCTTTTCTTCCGGATATTTCACCTGCAGCGTCAGTCCCGAGGAGGGAAACATAGCTGGGTCTCCCTGAAGCAGTCGAGGAGGCTCTTTAAGATGTATATGGACTCCGTGAAGGGGTTTAAAGACAAGTGGTACGTGGTACGGCCAGTTACCGACGCTGCTTTAAATTCCCTTTTCGAGGAGGAGGGGCCGGTGAGCGACGATGATGGGGAAACGATGATGGGCGACGATGGGAGCCCCGTGTTGAGTCGTAGGGCTAAAATCCCGGTGTACTGGATGTCCCGGCATTACGAGCATGGGACCGGTTATTACCATACCGCCGCCGGGGACATGTGCTCGGAAGACGAGCGGGCGTACGACACTCTTTGTCGGTTTGTCGACAGTTTCCATCCCGCCCAATGGGTTACGCGGGAAGGGGATGATATCCTGGACAAAGACGGTTACCCGACGTTCGAGTCCCGTCCGATTGACACCAAGGCGCTGGTGGAGTGCCCGACATACAGGCAGGCTGCCCGCCTGTTAGGTTGTTTGTTGCTTAAAATTTTTTATTCGTCATTTACTCATGAAGTTTGCTCGATACTGACTTCTCCTTTATTTCGTGCAGGTACGATGGCTAGCCGGCATGAAAGGCTCTTGAAATTATCCTGCGACCAGAGGCGAGGCAGGAGGGTCGTGAAGCCCCCACAGGCGACGAGAATGGGCCCGTCACAAAGTCCAAACGCTTCTCAGTCGGCGAGGGTGGAATCGCAAGTCGCGACTGGAGAAAGTCTGGAAGAGCGGCAGCAGAGAGAGCATAGAGAGCAGAAAACGTATTATGGGGCCCAAGGTTCCTATTTATAGTGATGACGTGGAATACCAAACGTCACCCCGGGCAACCACGGACTCCATCTCCTCGACGCGCTGTTCCCAACGCAATGATGACCCTACCCACATAGGGTGGCGGCACAGTTCCCGAAAGATGCCTCGTGTGCTCGACCGACGCACCCGGTAAGGATCCTCCGCGCATCCACCACCGAGGACGTCTCCGAGCACGACACGAGGAGGCCCCTCGAGGGCCCACACCTCTATCCCGAGCACGAGACCTCAACGAGGGAATAACTTGGGTTCAAGTCATGGCTCCTCGCAAAGGAACCACGACTTGGGGGGCTCCTGTTCTGGACTGGGCCCGACAGGCCCAAAAGCATTGCTAAGGCCCAGTCCAAAGGGACTTACTAAGGACCACGCCGAGCAAAGGGGTCACATCCGTGCCCGACATCCTGATGTCCAGCTCGACATCCCGCTGTCCAACTCCACGTGATGATGTCCAGCTCCACCTCCTGCCGTCCAGCTCGACGTCCTGACGTCCAGCTCGACATCCTGCCGTCCAGCTCCACGTCCTAACGTCCAGCTCGACACCCTACTGTCCAGCTCGACGTTGTCTCGAGCATCCCAACTAGGGCAGACTCAGTCCACCGTTCCCCCAACGATACTCCGGAAAGACCGCGTCTCCGTCCGCCCGCACTTCACGCAGAACATCCAGGAAGGGGACCACGTGCGGGTCCCCACTATCCACGTAGAACCTGGCAGTTCCTCCATTGGGCCAAATCCGCCCAGCCCAATGAAGGAACCTTGGCCCAGCGCTGGGGGCTATAAATACCCTCTGTTTCCAGAGGGTCAGGTATTCATCATTCTAACCTCAACTTGCTATTATCTGCTCGTACTCCTACTTACTTCAGCATCGGAGTGTCTTGCAGGTACCCCCCCCCCCCCCACCTTGTTCAAAAAAGCTTTCTGCTCGGAGCCAGCCGTGACGGTCCATTTCTGATCAGGTGAGATCAATAACAACTTTGAAATGATAGACTAACTTGATGGCTTCAGAACAATTTAGGGACTATTTATCATATTTCTAAAATTCAGGCACTAAATTGAAGATTTACGATGCTAAATTATCAGGTGGAAATGTTGAACTACTTACAGCGTGTTCAACAGAACCAGTCTGATCATACATTGCCCGCTTTTGTTCATCTCCAAGAATTGAGATGACACTTTGCAATTGCTGAAACTTGGCTTTAGCTTCCTGCAATGAAACAAGGAACAAACATGTTACAATTACAACCAAGGCAAATCGTAGCCCAAGTGGTGCAGTTGAACTTGGAAACCCAAAAGAGAGTGTGGCAAAGAAGCTATGATGCATCAACACATATCAACCATGACACTGACACACTACACCAGCAATAATTAGAGAAAATGAAAGCAGTTTAATGTTATTATATGCGTAGATGTCGTGTCAGACACCGGCATGTGGAAGACACCAGAAATGCTTTCAATCTGAGATGCTCCGTGTTGTCAATTGTGGATAGCATAAAATAGTACTATAACGGTTTGTTAAAATTGCGCTATGCAAAAGCAACAGTGCTATAGAAATTGCGCTATGCAACAATGCTATAGTGGCTATTTGACAATATTTTGTACTAAATAGTATCTCAGGAAACAATATTGGTTTGTCAAATTCTGCCACTCTATAGCACCGCTATTCCAGCTATTTAACTACATTGTTGGTGCTACATAGCAAGGAGGTCTAGGGTTCAAGTCTTGACTACTGATATCTGGAACTTGTGTCACACTATGTTGGTTAGTAACAACCTATGAAGCAGGGACACCGGAAACACGATACTGACACCGACACGTTCACACAAGTAATAATTTGAAAAAATTAATAAATTAAACGTAATCACAAAAATTGATGTCGGTTTCAAACACCGACTCACCTTTTTTAAGAGGTGTCGGTGCTATAAAGTTAACAACTAGCATTTACTTATGCAAACAACTACAACTTTGACAAAAACTTAAAACTGCATTAACTAGTAATTAACGAAAACTAAAATTCTATAGATAGATACAAAAAAGAGAGAACCTCATCACCAGGGTTCTTATCAGGATGAAGCCTCAACGTCAACTTATGATACGCCTTCTTTATTTCCTGTTGCGTCACTGTACTCTCCACACCAAGAACCTAATTCACATTAACAACAAAATCATCATTTCTATGCAAAGTAAACAAATTTATGGTGTGATAATTAGAAATGCTGAATTAATGGACCAACTTGCAAAATTCAGAAAAATCAAAAGACCAATTTGCAAAATTCAGAAAAATGAGGAACCAGTTTGCAAATTAAAACATTAAGAGCAATAAGTAAACTTCAGAAACATTAGGGGCCAATCAGTAAATTTTAGATTATTTTTTAATTATTTTTTAATTTGTTCAAATTATTTTTGAATGAAGGTTGAAATTAAGTGTATGATTATATTGCGTTATTTTGTGCATTGATCTTATTTACTTATTTAAAAACGGTTCAACATTATGTTTAACTGGTCGAATCAATTGAACCTTAAATCGGAGGTCTCGTCGTTTCGACCTCTGATTTGATTTTCAAAATATTGAGTTCGAAATGAAATTATTAAAAGATATTGGGTTTAAATGTTGAAATTCAAAATTAGTGGACCAACTTGCAAAATTCAGAAAAATCAAAGGACCAATTTGCAAAATGAGGAACCAGTTTGCAAATTCAAACAATTGAGAGCAATTGGTAACCTTCAGAAACATTAGGGACCAATCAGTAAATTTCAAAAAATTGACAAACCATTTTGCACTACTTGAAATATATTGGGACCAATTTACTTGTAATTTATCATTTTATAGGGTTAAAGAAAGATTTTAAATTCTTATTTTTGAGACGGTAATTTACACTGAAGAACTTAAATTACTTCAAAGTTCAAACTATATTACCTTGGAAATATCCCTTGTCCAATTACACTAGGAGGTTCTACTGCCAATCACCTCTCGAGTAAAAAAAGCCTCAAACTTTGGCTTCTTTAACCTTCATTGAGAAGGCAAATATTGGAACATCTTGAATAAAAACCAGCCACGTTAGCCAGCTTTTATGCAAGTCTACGAACTCTACTGTGAATATATCTTTGCATATCACATCATCCTCTTTGTTTTATCATATTCAAAACTGGACTCTGTACAAGAACTCCATCACATTATGCTCATGTTTGTACATTTACAAGCACCTATAACTTGCAAGTCTTAGGTTGATATCCAACTGCAGCCAGGTTGTTTTGTCGTTCCAAATTGTTTCATCATATCTCTCAGTTTAGCTGCTTCTTCCCACTGGCCTGCTTCTGCGCATATATTTGATAAAAGCACATAAACTGACGGGTTGTTATGTTCTCTTTCCAAGAGAAGTCTAGCAACCTTTCTTCCTAATATTAAATTACCATGAACTGCACAAGCACTGAACAAAGACCAGCACATATTGGAGTGTGCTCCAAAATATCCATCTGTAATTACTCTTTCTGCCTCATCAAGGTAACCACTGCGACCCAGCATATCAACAATGCAAGAAAAATGATCCACGCTTGGTACAAATCCATAAAATTTCACCATGATATCAAAAATACGGGTAGCATCATCAACTAAACCCGAATGACTGCAAGCCGAAAGTACTGCAGTAAATGTAGCATGGTCTGGTTTGTTTTCGGGGGAGATTCGCATTGCCTCAAAACAGTGCACGGCTTCTTTGCCTTGTCCATGTTGTGAATAAGCAGACATGATAGCATTCCAAGTGATTGTATCTCTTTCGACCATTGCATTAAATACACTCAATGACCCATCTAGAGATCCACATTTGGAATACATTGTCACCAGGGCGTTGCCTAGAGAGATTTCTGAATCAAAACCATGACGTAGTATGTAACCATGAACCTGTTTCCCATGATCCATGGCTGAAATGCAAGAACAGATGCTCAAAACAAGACTGAGGGAGTAGGCATTTGGCTTGAGATTTGTATTAAGTAATGCAGAGAATTGCTCTAACCCTTGCACCGGGCATCCATTCATCAAGAACCCAGATATTATACCATTCCAGGATATCAAACTTTTACAGGGGAGATTGGAGAAGATTTGAAAGGCGCCCTTTATCTTTCCGTTTCTAGAGTATGAAGAAATCAATGCATTCCAAACTTCAACTTTGATAAGTCCATTTTTGCAAAGGAGGGAATGGAACATCTCAACCATTTGTAGAGAGTCCAATGCAGCTAGCAAGCTTCCATAAGTAAACTCATCTGGTTCAATTCCTTCCCTCCTCATTTTCATATAGGTCAAGATTGCTTCATCATTAATCTTCTCTTGGAAAAACATTGAAATCATTACATTCCACGAAACAAGATCCCTACTGTCTTTCATTCTTTCAAAAACTTTTCGAGCCTCATTCACCTCCCCAAAGCATGAATACATTGTTATCGTCGCATTGTCGACAGCAGTATAGCCACAATCAAACCCCATTTTAATAGCCAAAGCTTGTGCTTGACACCCATCTCTCAAAGAACAGCAAGAGCTCAACACACTCACAAAAGTAACTTCAGTTAAACAAATACAAGCCCTATGCATATCCCTAAACATGACAAACGCATCTTCAAATCTTCCCATGCTCACAAAACCATCTATCATTGCATTATACGTAACATGATCATGAACCCCACATTCGGTTTCATCAAACACGTCATAAGCATTTTCAATACATCCACAGTTAGAATACATAGAAATAAGAGAATTAACCACAGAAGTCCTAACCAAAAACCCGGTTTTTAAAACAAGAGAATGAACATGCCTTCCATAATCCAAAGTATCCAAAGAACAAAAACTCAAGATAGTTGCAAACGTGTAATTATCAGGCCTAACATTCATCCTAAACATACCTTTAAACAAGTTAAAAGCAACATCTTGACGTCCACTATCACTGCACCCAGTAATAATAGCATTCCAAACAGCAACATAACACTTTGGCATTTGATCAAACACATGAAGTGCATAATCAACATGGCTCAATCTAGTGACAGCAGACAAAAGGGTGGTCCATGAATACACATCTGGGTGTAAAACATCTTGAAAAACGAGGTGCACTGAAGTAAGGTCGTGGGCTTTGGAGTAAAGAGAGAGGAGTGAATTGGCGACGTGGGAATGGGCTTTGAGGCCGGTTTGAATTGCGAAGGAGTGAAGCTGGTTGCCGAAGGTGGTGACATGGCGGGTGCTGGCGGTGGCGGTTATGACGGTGGAAAGAGTGTAGTGATCTGGTTTGGGGAAGTGGGAGGAGTGGATTTTGGTGAAGAGTTTGAGGGTTTGGGAGAATTGGTTTGTTCTTGTGAGGTGGGAGAGTTTGTGGTTGAGTTGAAGGATTTGTTGGTTTGAAATTGAGGACATTTCATATTTTTGAAGTTATCTCCCTTGAAATTGTACATAAGAAACACACTCCTTCAATAGTAAATACAAATATTAATAAATACATAATAAACATCATAATAAACTCAATAATACTTCATCAAAGAACAACAAATATAAAAATAAATAAAAAAACAATGTAAAATACAAGTTAGACCATTTAGAAAAAATCATAATTTTTATGGTTTAACCATATTTGAGGTGCTACATTATTTTTTTTATGCCTGATCTCAGAGCAACTTTATCTTTATCACTTCTTAAAGTTTGATGATTGTCATGAGATATATTTTAATTTGTAAGTTTATCATCTATTTCATATATAAGATTTTCACTTAAATCAGTGTAATAATATTCTCTTTTTTTCCTTATTTATTGTCTGGATCTAAATTGGTCTCTTCACTTTTAAAAAGACTAATTTGATAATTTATCTATTAAAAATGTGTTACGGTCATTTTAGTTAGATTCGTTAGTTAAAGTCAAAACTAATTATCAAATGGTGGTGATGCAGAAATTAGATGTTAGGGTGGAGGAAATTTGATGTGCACATTAAGTTAGTCACATTTGTAATATCACATATTCTCTTAAATATTTATTTCATTATTAAGTGGAATAAACTGAGTAATTAGTGATTTAAGAAGAGATTAAGTTTTTAATTAAACCTGTTAATCCTTATTAGTTGGTAAGAAAGGACAATTTGATAATTATGAGGAGTGGTATTTGGAGAATATGAGAGTTGGCAAAGATATAATGGTTAAAACAAAAGTTAAGCTCACTACAAGACAAAAGATTTTACTACATATCATTATCAATTTTCATTTTCTCTATATCTTTTCATTTTCCAAAGATAGAAAAGAAAGGGAGAGAGAAGGGAGAAAGAAGAAGAAAAGAAAGGAGGAAACACATGAAGGAAATGGGAGAATCATCGCCATCATCTTCATCTCTTAGAGTTTAATTTAAGGTTCTATTAAGGTGGGTTCTTTGTTAATATAGTCTTTGGGTGAATTTTGCATGAAATTTGGTTTAGGATTTTAATGAATTATTGCTTGTTTGTGAAATTGATAATTGAACCATGATTCTTGTTATGTCTTATGTTATTGTTGTTAACCTATGATGTTATGTGTTATGTTGTGTTCTTATGTATTGATGTTGTGTTGATATTGTGAGAATATGTGTTGAAGTTATGTTGTTGTGGTTTGTTGTGTGCTATTGTGACATGTTGATTATATGAGTGGTGTTGTTATGGCCAGAGATTAATGAGGTTAAGAAGTGATGAAAACATAGTTGTCTATATATCCTTGTATAATGATGGAATTCATGGTATGAAATGCTTGAGTGTGTTACAATATGATTGGATATGTTTAGATGGTTAGAGGTTGAATAAGATGAGTTTAAAAGTGATTTTTCTTGAAAAGTTATAGATGATAATCGATTATCCCTCCATGTCAATTGGTTATCCTGCTAAAAGTTACACATTTTTTGTAATAAGGGGTGTTTAATTGATTAGCCCCTTATGTTAATCGATTGACACCCAATATTCACCATAAAATGAGTTTTGTAACTCCATTTGGGTGTGGTCGGATGTGTTAGAAAGCTAGTTCAATGCACTACCATATGGAGAAGTAAAATCATGCTTGCATGCCTAATTATAGTATTAAGTGTAGAATTTTATGAACCATGGTTGTATGATAGATGGTGTGATAACATGATTGAATGTTTTATTCATGATTAAGGATGGCTAAATTATCATATGAATTCCTTCTTAGATGACTTAGTGTAGAGTTGTGTAATAGTATGGGAGATGTTATATCATGCACATATTCATTGAATGGATAATAATTGATCAAATTCTATGATAATGAATTAGTTTAAACTTGTGATCTTAGTTAGGTTAAAATGATAAGTAAATATGAACTTAGGTTATGATGAATACCTTAGATTGTGATGCTCAATTATGAAAGATATCTCGATGTGTACCCATGAGTGAGTAGTCACTTGAGATGAATCATTTCATCTACGAGAGTTCCTGAATGACATGGATGAGGAACAATAGTCTAGTTACAAGTAAATGAGCTTTGTATGGAAAGACATTATGATAATGTGATTGATGAGAACAATCATGTGGTGATTGATGATTATAATCATGAAGTGATTGATGAGAATGATCACGTATTCGATAATAATCCCTATGTGTTTGTCCTGAGTCTGATTCTCATGTAAATTAGTGATCGCGATAGACGAATCATTGATATGTAACCTCACAGTGGGTTAGAGTTCCATAGAGGAACGAACCATACGGTGAGTTAGAGTTCCATAGAGGAGTGAACTTTAAAGTGAGTTAGAGTCCCATAGAGAAGTGAACCTCGTAGTAGGTTAGAGTCTCAAGGAGGAGTGAACTTCATAATGGAAAATATGTGCAACATGACAAAGAGAAGTGACCCATGTCCACAATCCTATATATGGGATTTGTAACACCCCAATTTCAGTAAATTATTTTATTTTTATTTAATTATAATTTTGTGTATTTATTTAATTATTATATGTGAATGATTAAATAAATGTGGGTGAGAGAAAGGATGTGTGACATTATGGTAGAGTGTGGAAAGTAATTAGAAAAAGATATAATATATTAGATTTATTTTATTTACTAATATAATGATTTGATTTTATTATTTAAATAAAATAAAAAGAAAGTAGAAGTGTAGAGATATTGAGGGCAAAGTGAGGATTAGAGAGAAAAGTAAGGGTATAGTAGGAATAGCCATAGAGGTGTCATACCCCAAATTTGCCCGTTCTATTTCTAACAGACAAATTACTTTCAAACTTGAGTTTTATAAAATTCTTTTGGTTTATATACACTAATATTTTGGGTTTTATAAATATTGATTTTCAATTTATTTTGTCTATCTAAAAATATATAATAGTTTATTTTAAATTTCTTAAATAGCAAAAGCTTGCTTGCCCTTCATATACTTTCAATTGGTTTTTTATTTCGAATAAATAACTTACAATTGGTAGGGAAGCAGAGCTTGGAAGTATAGGGTCATGATTTTGAATCTCACATGGTGAACTTTGGATTTTTTTTTTGGAAAAATACTTCTTTTAGTCCTTTAACTATACCTCGGGGTCCATTTTGGTCCTTTATCTTTAAAAAGTTCTAAAGTGGTCATTTAATTGTTCAAAAAGGACCACATTAGTCCTTTATGTCCAAATGGCACAAACGAACGTTTGTTTTGTATACGTGGCAGGTGATGTGGAATGTCATAAACATCTTCTTCAATCTTAGTTATTAGATTGTCCCTTTCATTCTCTTCTACCCAAATTCCCCTAAATTCTAGGTGTTGTACCCCAAAATTTTCTCTCCCATTTTCTTCAAGATATCTCCTCACGCTCATAGGGTTTTCAATTGCTCAAGGCTACTCAATATTTGATCAAACAAATTCTCCTCCTAAGCAGTTGACCTACAACTAGGGTTTCACTTTTCTCAAGGAAATTTGAGCTTATAATGCCTCAAGTGGATTTCATGGTTCCTCACTCAAGGAATGCTCATGCCAAATTTCAAGCCTTGCATCACAAGTATGCTCAGTCAATTGCTCAGATGACTGAAAATCAACTATATTGGACAAAAAGTTAATTGTGGTAAACATAAAGTCAAACTTAAAGATTTTTGGTCAATATCAAGATCTTTAAGTCAAATTTATCATTTGATCAAGGGTTGATTAAGATTCATCAAGAAAACTCTCAATTCATCAAAAGTCAAAGTTGCCAAATTATGGTTTTCTTAAGGAGAAGTCAACTGAACTCTGACCAAGCATAACTTTCACATGCTTCATCAGATTTTTCTCAAACAAAGCTCATTTTGAAGGAAATTCAATTCTCTACAACTTTACCTCTCTAAGCTCAAATCCAAAAAATGCTTCATTTGAGAGATATGGGCCAAAACATTATAGGTTATTTCAAAAGTCAACAAAATACACTTTTTGTCAAGGCAACTTACATCAAGATAAAGTCTTCAAATGAAAAATGATCAACATAGAGATTGTAGGGTATATCTTGAAATTTCCAAAAAGTCCAAGATCACCTTCAAATGATCAAAATTGAGAGAGTTATGATTGGTGCAAGTTGGCAAATTTGAGAAAATGCATGAAACCCAAATTGAACAAGCTTGGAATTTTGGGCTAGTGGGATGATCTTTCAAGGTCCAAACGTGTATTAGGCCTTATTGTGAACCTATAAACCAATTAATACACCCCTTGGATTTTTATTTTTTTTTATTTTTTATTTCAATTATTTAAATTCAAAATAAATAAAAAAAGATAAAACCAAGGCTTTCATGACAAGGTCCAAGCCCATTTGTTTGACCTAATTCTCCTCTATATATATTCTTCATTCAGACAAGAGAAGATCACACAAAACCTTGCACGAAAAAATTTCCCAAATATTTCAAAATTCTCATAAAATAGGACAAACTTCAAACCCTAGTTACAACCTCTCTCAAAGCAAACTAATTCTCCCAATCGATCTCTGAAGCATTGTAGGGTAAGAATGGATCAATCTTAATGGTCCAAAGCACACGAAACCAGCATGCATGCATCTCCGGTTTCATTGTTTTTTGCAAATTCATATCTTTGTTTTCTTCATGTTTTAGTGCATACTAACGTTACTAACATTCTTCTGAGATATCAAGATGCATGACAAACCCATCGCATGGCTCCCATAATGGTTGAATTGTGGTTTACCATGTTTACACTGTTTTACTTTATCTCCTTCGTATCTCTCTGTACTGAGGGAATCAATCCTAGCTAATGACACCAATGAACTCGTAGCCCCAAAATTAGGGGGGTAGGATCCCTCGGAATCATTAATGTGCTTTATTTTACAAGAACGAGAAGGAAGCTCGCCGGAGAAGATGACCGGAGCTAGGGCTTCGACGCCTCTCCGGCCCATGGATTGGTTTTATTATGTATTTAATGATGTTCACTAAT